ATAACAAACTATTAAAGAGAAGTGTCTTAAGTCACAAGATTTATAATGAGCAATAATAGATATATATTAACTAATATATAATAATTTGTTATCCAAGTATATAGTTACAATTAAATACGTTTTGATTTACTCTAAAAAAACAGTTATTTGGTAATCAAAACAAATTAATATTAAATATTTTCTTAAACTTGCATTTTTAACTTTATAGTCGTAAAAGAGTAGGGGAAGTCCAGGCAAAGCGAATATTTTTTTATTTTTGCTTATCTATCTGAGATAGTGCTATGAGTCTTTAACTGTTGGAGGAATGACCGACCAGCGACGCCATGAAAGTGCAAAACAATATATGATTGCGCTCGTTTGTATTTGATAGAGAAATAAAAGAAATTGTATGTTTTCTCGCAATTTTCGCTAAGATATGTAGTGTAATTATTAGCAGTAACTGTTTCTTAACTAATATGAATGATTTTTTATAAGAATTCTTTGACTTTAAATGTGTATTTGAAATTAAATTTTTTCACTTATTGGTTAAAACTTATTCTAACTTTTCCAAATTCGCTCCAAGATTCTTTGGGCAAAGTAGATGGCGGCAAAGCGAATGTCCTATCCTCAATGATGCATTGAAAATACCGGGAAGACGCAAAGACAGACAATCTTTCAAGTAAACGAAAAGTACTCAGATTGTTTACATTTCACTTTTGCTTTTTTTTCCACAATGCATGATACATGTTCTGAAAAATACAGCGACTCACCGTCCGAAGATTTAATGCAATAAGTACACCAAATGGACTCATAAAGGCACACTATAGAGGATTTAGTAGCTACTTTTGTGATGACTGCCGACACTAATTTTGATTTTTTTAATTCCATCCTTATTGCTCGAGTGACCCATCCACTTTGCCCAGGAGAGTAGAGCCAAGCGGATGATTTTCTTTTTTTACGTTTTGATTAAAAAGACATTTAAGTTTCTTTATTTTAAGGTTAATTCCATTAATAGAATTATGAAAATAAAAAAGGTTTCTGATTAATTTTAACTGTATCAGTTTTCTTTCCAAACCTTAACACATCCGCTTTGCCTAGACTTGAAATTCATCCAAAAGATAGCTATACATAATAATCGACGCTTCTTGTTAGTCGATCAAACAAATTTTATACATTAACAAAACAATTTTTTAATTTTGGATTTAACAATATTCTTGTTTGCAAACGGAGAATTGGTTATTTAATTATTTATACAAAGATATATGATAAGGATAACGGAGAAAATGTCAACATATAGGCTTTGTGATTTAAAAAATTTTCTTGTACAATATTACCAACTTAATTACACAATTAAATTAAACAAAAAATTATATATTTCAAAAAGACAAATTTTATCATAGACAACGTATTTTTTTATGCTTATTATTTTACAAAATTTCAAGAACGTCTCTATTTAATTTGCGGTCCACTTTGTATTATGAATGTTTCGAAACATTTGATTGACCAGCCAGAAGAAAGAAATTTACTAATTGATTAATCAGAGAATGTTTCAAAACATTTATAGCATTAAGTAGACCGTTACATGTGATTGATTATGATTGCGTTCATATTCACTGCTAGTACTGAGCTTCTATTCGTGAAAAGAAATGTACGTATACGTAAAATTAAAGAAATATTATAAATAAAAATTCTCTAATTAGTGAAAAATTCAGCGATCAGAACGATTTTTTTTATTTTAACCAGCGAACAAAAAAATCAAACTTTTAAAAAAAGAATTGTACTCTATTTGAACTCCAATAATTCTAATGTTGACATGATAAATAATTATGACAGAATAAAAAATTCTTCATTAAATATAATACGGCACTCCCGAGTAATGCTTCTATCGAATGAATGTTCAGCATTGGTAATTCCGTAGTAATATCACAGAGAGAAAATTTACACGATGATACAATATCAAATTCTGTTAATAAAAATTTTATTATTAATATTTTGGATTAGTGCTAGAATTTACAAGTTTTTTGCCAAATATAAAATGAAGATTATAATGATATTAATTAATTAAAAATTATACCTTAATTAATTTTAAAAAATACATAGCACATATATACACAAATGTTTTTTAATTTACGGATGCTTTTCAATTGCTTAACACATCTTAACATACGTATACAGGAATGCACAAAGTGTAGCATTGTACACGATTCAGTTGGAACAGAAATGTGTACGCACGGTTTCGATCCGTTTTAGGTAGAGTTAAACTAAATGTAGCTTTTTCCTCCTGTATTAAATAAAAAAAGTAAAAATGTTTACCACTTAACGTTCTTCAACCTTATTTATAGCTGCCGCAGTTAGTAATATGTAATTGTCACCAGAAAACACAAGCTTACACAGCCCTCGGCTGTGACATATGTAGTATGTTGTATTGATGATAACGAGCAATTGGAACGCAACTTGTGTTGCTGTGTGCACAAAAGTGTCTAGGAAACATATTGTAATTGGAAAGCATCCGTAATTTTGTAGGTGTTTATACAACTTTCAAAAGAAATGTCTTACTATACAATTTTCTTATTTTCTTTTGAATAAAATTGTGTAAACATAAAGCAGTCTTTTTTTTATTGTCAGGGACTACATTACTCTGATGACTCCCTGTATCATCCTTGTTTAATATTAGGTGAACAACAAGGATAAAAAGACACACGAAGACATTCGGATAACGTTTCTGAATGCAGCCCTAATGATATCGATAATACTTATGACATTCTGCTGAAAATTCTGATGAAAAAAAGTAACTAAAAGTAACTAAAAGTTACTTTTTTAGTAACTGTAATTATAACGAATTATTTTTCAGAGTCAATAACTTGTAACAATAACTAATTACCTTTTGAGGTGTAGATGGACCTCCCAAGTAGCACAGCAGCACTTGCAAAGCGCTAAAAAAAAGATTGTATGCTCTTTTTTAACTATTTGTTAATACTTTGTAAGTGCTGTGTGCTACTTGGGCTCGTTTCATGCGAAAAGTCAGATGTCTGTGAGCAGGAGGGGAGATAAGATATGGACCTCGTTTCGCATAGAAACATTATACAAGGAGGGGATAGTTCTTAACATTGTACATAGTAGAAACAGAACGCTATTTATTTAATTTTTGTTGTTCATAACTTTATAACTATTAATGACCTATAAAACTTGTCGGAGGTTACAATCAGGTTAGAATCATAACCTTGATAATATGTATCAAGGTCATCGTAGCAGGGTCCCTTGTTTGATAGATATATTTGCCAAAAAATAAATTATATTATGTCTGTGAAGCTAGCAACCACAAAAAAAATTCGCCCGTAAGCCATAATTAAGTACTAATTTAATGCTAATTTATTGCTCTAAGTCCCGAATTTTGTGCTTCTTTTTATTACAGGTAATTAATTTTAAAAGTGAGGATGCTGACTTTATGTTACGCAAGCACTTCCGTAAAACACATACAGAGTACTGTAAACAAAAAAAATACGTATATTAACATTTTTGCTACTTTTTGGCTGTAAGATATTGCAAAAAAACTTCGAGAATTTTGAATAATTATATTTATACCAATATCGATCACTATACGTGCGCTAGCACCGCGACACTTCTGGTAAGATTTTTTTAACTTAAACAATGAGCAATACAGAATCTGAATATTCTTAAAGCGAATAATTTTAGAAACATTTTAAGACCAAAATTGACCCAGCAATTAATTGCTTTCATCACTTTACTCTTGTACGCGAGCTAGCACCGACACACTACAAGTTGACTTTTGACCATACTAAGATAAAAAAGTCATCTAACAGTGAAGTTGCTAGCTCGCGTACAAGAGCAAAGTACATAAAAGCAATTAATTGCTGGGCTAATTTTGATCTTAAAATGTTTCTAGAATCATTTGTTCCAAGATATTCCGGTTCTGAATGTATTGCTCATTGTTTAAGTTAAAAAAATCTGCTAGCGTGAAGTAAAGTCATTACCGCCACTTTTGAAATTAATTTCCTGCGAATGGAAACAAGCACAAAATTTGGGACTAGAGCAATAAATTAACACTAAATTAGCACTTAATTATAGCATACGCGCAAATTTTTTTTATGATGGGGATGCCAGCTTCACAGACGTGTTATATTATTATGTTATTAATACCTCTTCTGTGGAAACCTCGTTCCGGGTAAAAAATTACAACAGTTTTTAAAACTTGTTTGAAAAAAAGATTAGATTTTTTATCATTTTTTAGACATGCTTTTTAGTAAAAAAGAAAGTTTATTATTAATATTTTATTATTAATATAGATTTATACAGAATTTATATATATTTATTATTTCAAATTATATTCACATTAGATAAAAATTATTTTATTATTAATTTTTGAGAGTTATAAAGTCAATGGACTTGAGAAACATGATTTCGAGAAAAACGCGTTTAAGATTTACGAGTAGGTACTATTAATATAAAATTCGATATTTATAAAGTAATATACAATATTAAAATTTATTGTTTTAATTTATACAATGTTATAGTGTATTAAATACAATCCACTGTTAAAGAGCATAATTTCAAAAAAATTATTAAATAATCAAAGTAATATTTCGTTTTTTTCTTAAATATTTTTTTTTTTATAATGAATACTCTGTCATTATACATATTTTTAATTTATATTAATAATGATTAAGAAAGTAACTTCATATTACAATATAATCACAAAAGAAGAAAAAATACGAAAATTTTAGTAATTTAATAGATGTATATCTGTAAAATTGTTGTAATTTTATAAGTTTGACCTGTAATTAGAACACGACCCATAATTGGGATCGTTATCTTATATAATCTTTCAATGACATATATGTTAATATATACAATAATATTCACTCACGATAATGAAAATGACTGCTTTTAAAAGTATAGTAGCAGTAATTTCGTACTATAATTGTCGCACAATTTTAAAGAATGATAAGATATAGCATTTCTTTATAAAAGAGTTTATAATAAGTCAAAGGCACAACAAAATATTTCAATCGCTAATTGGTTTTACTAGAAGAGAAGAAATACTTCGCAGAGAAAAACTTAGAATTTTCAGACTATAAGTATAAAACATTGAGTTTTGACGTATTTTTTAACCATGAAGGCATTCTATGTTCTTCTGTTATTGACCCTCGTTGAAATCGTTTTTGCAAAATCGGTATGTATTAATATATTGTAAGAGTACACCACAAATTGGTACATAATAATTTTAAAGAAATTTTATTAAAAACAGTTTTTATTATTTGCATTCAGCCTGATAAAAGAAAATAATGTTACAAAAAGTATAATATAAAGATATTTTTATATAAATAAAAGAAACTTGGAGAAATAATAAAAAAATGAATATTTTAGCAAAATTATTATTCCTATTTAGTTTAAGACTATAATACATCTTCAGGATATAATACGTTCATCTATTTATTTTAATTTCTCGGAAAAAAATGTTTTATTTATTTATATCTAATTATATTGTATTAATTATAATATCTAAAATTATACACAGGGTATCCTAAAATTTTTTACCAAGCGCTCTTTTGATAGATAGAACGGACTAAACTGAGTCAAAAAGTCGAAAAAATGTATCATTTTGCAGTTTTCGCAATAATTAACAAGATATTAATTACTAAAAATTGCCGAATATTAGCCTTTAATAATTTTTATCTCAAATTATTAACTTTTCGGAAAAACTGCAAGAGACAAAAATTGTTTATTTTCTTCTCATAAAACTTTAAGAATTTGTTCAGAATTTTTTATCAACTTTTTAGTACTGCATTTTCTTATTTGCAATTATTTTACTATTATGAGAAAATATGGTACTAGAAAATTTTGAAAAAATTCTGAAAAAATTCTCAGAACTTTATGAGAAGAAAATAAACAATTTTTTTCTCTCACTGTTTTTCTGTAAAATTGATAGTATTTTGAATAAAAAATTATTGAGAACCAATATCCAACGATTTTTAGTGATTAATATCTTATTAACTATTCCAAAAATTGCAAAATAATAGAGTACTTTTTGACTCAATTTAGTCCGTTTTCGAAACACCCTAAATTTTTTATATAATTATATGTAAAAAATCAATATTTTTATATATTCACAATTATGTATAATTATATATATAATTATATATAATTATATAAAAAAAA